CGTGAGGGGGGGGGGGAGGTATCGCGTGGTAATTCTCCACGGATCGGCACACGCGAACTTTTGGGCCTCACGTTTCAGCTCGTTAAATGAAATAGCAATTAACAAACAGCATATGTAATTGGATTCGAATCAAATTTGAATGCTGAATAAAATGTGTCGAGATTTTTTTAAAACGATTTTACATTAAATTTACTGGAACGTCAATTACTTGCCCTTTGCAGAATTAATTCGACCCTCTATGGGAGTACCGCGAGAGGGTTAACTTTTGTTTGACACTTATTAAGTGAGCAAAGAGGGATACAAAGAAATTTTTTAAAAAGACCCATTTGAAAGTTATACTTCCTATAGCGTCATTGTGATTTTCCCGTTCTCATGGCACGTTTTCACGTCGCAGATGACATTGTTGCGTGTCGGCGGCCGTCGCCACATAACAGAAATACACCATCACCTTGAAATGTACATTCCATGTATAACTGTGTATGCATTGCGCGTGCCTCCTAATACTGTCCTATCCCGTAGGAATATATATTGGCTGGTTATATATAGGTATGTAGATACCGAGCAAAGAAACTGCCAGAACTTACCCTCCTATCGCCAGGACATCCACCTATATCAAAACAACCCTTACTAGGGATAGTCACTACAGTGACATTATGTTATATACGACACACTTTACCCCTCCCTTCTCACTTTTTTACCCGCATAGTTAAGGATCGATTCAAGTTTTACATGGAAAGAACGACGAAATTTATCGTACATATTTCGCTTTGATTTGAAACATTTTTTTTAGGTTAGGTTGAAAAGTCTGCAGGGTGTTCAGTTACGACCGCATTTAAATGGCCGGGTCGTATTCTTCGTTGAAGCTGAAAATCTTTTTATACTTCAATATTTTTCATTTTCTCGCACTCCAACCAGACATTTTTCGGATCAAAGCACTACTTTCTTTTACGGCTGTCTGAGAAAGAATGAGCTCTTCAAGATGGCACAGGGTAAATTTGAATGAGAAAAAGGCTCGAAATTTTATCATTGCCTCTAAATTATTTCTACAAAAATACACGTTTCCCAAGAATTAGCTTTTTAATGGCAAAGAACGTTTTAATACGAATTTGTCAAGAATAATCCGCCAAGGAGCGTTTCGAAATCTTCCTTGACTGTCAAAATATAAGGAATTGTTGCTTAATCGAATGAACCGAATGACAGCTGTCAAATTTGGTTGACGGGTCTAAGGAAGAGTACCCTGGATATACTAAAGTCACCCTTTCCGACACAAACAGCAATATAAAGTAGCGTCCATATATATCCCATCTGTCTTGTTTACAAAAACATATTTTCCAAAGTGCATAGACAGATTTGATTTCGTCTCTCGTATTAAATAGACCCAACTGGAACCAGGACAAAAAAATAAATCGCACCCCAACCCCTAAAAAACCCCCTAAATCCAAACCCCCAATCTGACCAAATAATAATAAAAATTGTTCAACAACGAACTCACCAGTTCTCAGAAGCATCCTCGTCCAAAATCGTACCGTCGGCAAGTCGATGTGGCAAATTGGTCGATGTCCTGGGACGGTTCCTGATCCTCGACGGTCCGACGACGCCAGTCTTTGAGAGTCCAGCCCGAAAGGATGCCCTGGCCCTGTCGACTGCTCCAGTGAACGTCATTGCGTCTCATTAGTGAAGGTTAGTAGCACGGTTAGGGGAAGAGGGTCGAGAAAAAGAAGGTTAGCAGCATAGTCAGTGAAGGTAGATCGGCCATCAAAATTCGGTCTCGTGGGTGTTGCAAAAAGGATCAGGATCCCAGGACCCTTGGACAGATGGGACAGGATTAATTCCCAAGGGACGGCTGGTTAGGATATTGCAATTAAGTCGTATAAAAGGCATACACATAAACGCATGGTATACACGCGTGGACACATGCAGGGAATCAAAACGTCAGGGAACAGAGAAAATAGATCAGCTGACAGGACATTAGCACTGTCCATTTAACAATATCCAGACGATAACCTATATCTATATGTCCAACTATTATAACACTTCTGATAGGGACAGTACAGGTATACGATCCTATATAAATTGCTGGCTGGCAGCCTAGCAACCTGGCTGACTGGGCTGACTGGCAAGGGGGGCGCATAACATTTATTACCAGGTCAGGGTTAACCGTAAAGGTGCGGCGTACGTCCAGCAGGGCTGCAGCACCGTCTAAAAATACTCGCAACCGAACCTAACCTAGATATAGCAACGAGCGTTGCACATACCGTAGCATTCCGTGACAGTAGTGTATTAAATATATATGACTGTGCAATTTGTGCATATATATATATAACAATTATATAACGTAAAGTAAAACTATATAATATACATTTTTTGTTTTCAATATCTCCCACGCCCACGTGAGCCACTGGTGAGTTCAAAGGGACGAAGCAAAATACAAAGTACGATAGTTTCGCACTCACAGCGAGTAACGAGCCTGTTGTTGCCGTGACTTGAGGGTTGTATGGCGGGTTGCGGGGATGGCTGGGCGCTTAGATCCTCGAAATTTATTATCTGCAGGCAAATGTCGTCTACCTCGCTCCTTATCAGTGCTATCACCTCGCTGCACAAGAATTTTGTCCCTGGAAAGAAAAAAAAAGAGAAAATAAGTATCGTCACAGAGATAATATACTATAACGAGTATGTTTATTTCTTTTGCTATATTTTTGGAGGGTCTAGACGCACTGCGTCTGTTGTCTCTATCAAATGTACTAAGGACGCACAATTTCTGAGCTCTCTCTCTCTCTCTTTCACGTGTGTATACACATGCTCGGTCTCCGTTCTGGAACACCTTTATCGATCGACACACTCCACACGGCATAGCCATGTCGTTCAGCACGCAGTCCGCATGTATGCGCGTTCGCATGTTGCGTATACGCAACGACGTCCTTTTTCGAGTCTCAAGCGACGTTGTAGGATAAAAAAGAAACAACTAAAAGCAGAATACTCTTCACGGAGCTCGAAGGTCGTCGGAATTCTATGGAAAGAAAAAAAGCAGAAACTTAGCGAGGTCGAAAACAACCCTTACCTCTTTTCACAAGGACGACCCTTGCGCCTAGTGACAATAAATGTTAGAGGGGTGTAACGATGCTAATAAAGATGGCGTCGATGACGTAAGTTCGACTGGAAACATAAAATGAAAGAATAAAGAGAAACAACGATGCGGCATCGCCGGGAGAGATGGGGGTGGAGGCCAAACGAAGAGAAGGATAAAGAATAGCACCACGATTAAGTGGCTGACGAGTACTTGGCGAGTACCACTTCCTTTGCTGATCTCTCGTTAGACCCTTGCTCGAGGAAGCTCGAGCGTCTCGTTGAAGAGGTCAGAGGTGAGTACCCTGGTCCCCATTCAGGTAGAATAATCCTGGAGAGGGTCGTACGCGACTGCCTATTCACACGAGATTACGTACTGTCGGTAAAGCAGGGCGCCTGCTGGTACATGCTTACCATGGCAAGCGGGAATGCGCGGCAAATAGAGAAATGCTAACCTAACCTCATGGAAGCATAACCAGAAAATAAAATAGTATCTCGATTGAACCTAACCGAACACTATTTAATAAGTAATTAACGTACTCTTTTAAAGATACGAATAAAGCCGACCTATTTGACCCTTAAGCACGGGGCCAAAACGTGTCTCGATCCACTACACAATGGCGGAACGTAACGCCCTGGCAGCATCCCAAATGGATTCGTATAACCTGGGGCTACCTTACAAAAGTATATTTCGAGGGTGACTCTACAATTTAAAATGTATACTCTGGACACGTAGCAAGGGATGTATCTTTTTTATTTTTCAGGTAAAAATAAAATCGACTGCTAAATCAGGAGTCATCGTGGGATACTGACGAGAATCGAGGGACGTGCTCGTTTGAATTTTCATTCGAATCCGAGTGACTGATGAAATTGTCCCAAAATCCCAAGCGATGAGGAATACGTTTCAACGACATAACGTACTACGTCATCGATGCGCAAACCGACGCGTCGCGACGCCACGAGGGAATGACGACTGACAGGAGGTCACAGATATAGCAAGAGCGTCGACTGGTTAATGGGTTAAACGGGCTGTTCTGATTGGTCAATGGCGAGGTGTACTAGCGATGACGTAGCGCGAGTGCACTGCCCCCTGCTGCTGTGACGTGGGATACGCGTACTAGTACACTGCAGCTACGGTAAAATGATCCAAAATAGCGTGTACCAAGACCTGTTATATATATACACCCGATACTTTACACGTATACGTAATCTGGCTGCTCCCTTTTCTCAGGTTGAAACTTTCTGGATTGGACAATAAATATCTTATACTGGCACACACGCCAGAGCCATGTATCACGTATCCATGTATGCTCATATGCAACAGCAGTAAAGACATATGTTTAGGTAATGGGGAGCAGGTGCTCGTTTTATGAAATATCAATAAAGCATTTCAATGAAAATAAAAAAAGAGGCAAAAAAATGACATTTACGATTTTTATGAAAATTTATGTAAGATACGTGCCTAGTTGAAGGGACGGTAATATTTTCTTTTATATGCAAAACATGCATGCGATGTACATTGCAAGGTCTACTGATAAAATACCCTAGGTTTGGATACTCTTGTGTTACTATTAATTTTGAATAATTTTCTTCTATCTAATTTAACTTGGTCAGAGTAAACTTTATCATTGAAATGGGCTACTTTGTACTTTTTTTTTTTTAGAACCTGTATATACGTATATGGTTGTATTGCAAGGGTGGCTTTTAAAAGACGCTGCAAATGCGATCCTGGCAAATATGTGTTTGGCAATCTATCAAAAACACGAGACGCCCTTAATTGAGGTTAATTGAATGTGCGGAAAGGAGGGAGCAAGAATGTCGTTCCAGCCTGTACGGACTTCCGCGTTGATTCCAGGACGTCACTTCCGAGTGGAGGGGCTCGTGATTCTATTTTTAAAGGTGAAAGGACCTTCGGCTGGAACGATATGGGAAATTAAGCAGACACGAAGAAAATAATAATAAAAAAAAGAAAAAGGGAGAGACTCGCCCTAGAATCTTCCCAAGAGCAAACAGCACTCTGGCCGAACCTTCGTGTCATTTCTTTCTGCCACTTCCTTTGCTCGCGTTATAGATATACTACCTTGTAGAAGTGACACGTGTATGTATCAGGGGTACGAATCACCCTGTCTCTGACTATCTTCCTACAGCGCAGAATGGTAGGCGTGGTCTCTACTCATACACCCCTCACAAGTTAACGAAGTCCCTTTCTTGGTCAGACACAGTCAAACACGGTTTTAGCAGGAAAGAAGAACAAAAAACCAAAGGTTATTCCAATTGCCATTTAAGGGAGGGCCCAAGGGTATTAAACGAGGGTTTTATCCTCAATGGGAAACAAGAGGGACTGAGAACACGTGCTAATGAAATCCCGTAAAACTACAAGAAAATCGTATACAACGGTAAACGTACAATTCCATATAAATCCAATGCAGTTCCAGTTCCGAAGAATAAATCTCAGGATTCATCCTTACGTAAGTCTGACCTCGACACTGGCACTACTACTTGGTCTCAATTGAAAAAAAAAAAAACAAATTCCACAAAGTCAGTATCGAAAAACTAAAGATCCCAGTGTTACCGAAGAAAGTAAAATCAGAATAAAATTTGCTTTTTTTCAAAATCAAAACTTCGCGCCAAGCCCACCCAAAACGTGAAGAAGCCAACGTAACCGAAGGTAGCATGAAGTTGCAAGCTCCCCAGTCGAAGGGGCATTGTCCTATGACGCGAAGAGAGCTTCCACGCCGAGAGAGGAGAATCTGACGGAGAAGCTGGGTGGGGATAGACGAGAGACGCGATTGGCTGAAAAAAATAGTAGAGAGAGAGAGAGAGAGAGAGAGAGAGAGAGAGAGAGAGAGAGAGCCAATATTCGGGGTGGGAGAAGCGTTGGAGCGATCATCCTTTCGGGCAGATAGGAGAGGGTGGGGTACGGATCCATATGACGTCACGAGGGCAACGGCGTCGCGACGCTCACCAAAAAGTCGAGTGGGGGTAGGGACAGTCTATGATGTCATTGACTAACAGCAGTGCAGTGTTGTGCCCGCAACCGTGCAGGGATGCACTGTGCGATACTATGATGCATTTTCTGCACTCTCAACAAGGGATGCAACACGAGTACCGAACTATTCTTAGACATAGACTCGCTCTGCCTACCTCTTTCTTCTACTGGTCCTAATCTCTATTCCTGTTGCTACATCTATATCGCTTCGCTCTCAGATGCACACAATGCACTTCCAGAAGTGCATTCAAATATTTTCATTGCGCAATGACCTTTTTTTTATTTTTTTTTTTAAACAAAAACAATGCTTATATCCTGCGCCAATTTTGGGCCTTGTTAGAACAAAGCCAAACATATGCACTCGTGTAGATGCACTTTTCTAGGTCATTATTTATGGACTGAAAATGGCCAGGAATTGCAACGCTGTCTGTGACCCCCCCCCCCCC